CGGCCTTCTCGCCCTCCGCGCCCGCCGACGGCCGCGACCCCAAGGTTGTCGCCAACTACCTCGGCAAGACGCCGCAAGCGCGGGCCCCGCCTGCCAGTGTCACCGCCGACGAACCGGGCGTCGCGCGCTATGAACTGAAGAGGAAGTTCTTCAACAAGTTCGCAAAGTCTTTGCCTCGCGCCCGCAAGGGCGGCCCGACCCAAGTCGACTACGAGCTCGTCCGCATCATCACCGAGTCGACCGACGGGGCGGACTGCCTCTTCAACTTCTGCACCTCCGTTGGCTGGGGTGTCATGCACGAGCGTCTCAAGCGGCTCGAGGACGACCTCAACGCCGTCTGCCTCTGGAAGGACGATGGCGTCAGCTGCCGGCCCCTCGGGCTCTGCAGCATCTTCACGCGCTCAGCTGAACGGTGCATCGCGCTCCAGGAGCGCGACTGGGCGGAGCAGTTCTGCACCACGCAGCTGCCTGAGGTTGCCAAGGCCAGGGCGGAGGCACTCGAGGACGCCACCGTCACCACCGCCACTGCGGAAGCCGCGTACACTTCGAGGTGCATCACGCACGGACACGGCTCGGCCGAGGCAACGGCCGCCCTCGCCGACCTCGAGGCGGCCGAGGCTGCGGAGGAGCGCGCCCGTGCGCCAGTCAACTTCCCGAAGAACTATGCGTTCTCCAAGAACGGCACTCACCTGTACGCCCACACCGTCGCGGGGTGGCACGGCACGAAGCCGGAGAACGCGACCATCTCGGGCGACAAGGAGAACTTCTACAACACGATCGCCCAGGCGCTCACGGCCGACAACAAGCCTGACCCCAACGGCTGTGGGCGCGTCAAGCTCCTCGACTGGATCCGCAAGCGACGCCCTGACCTCCTACCCGTCGCTCGCCTCATCATGGGCACGCCCAGCTTCATCCGCCTTGTCAAGGCCGAGGGGGCCTTGCGGCTGCCTTCCGCCGACGGCGACGACCTGGACCTCTCCGCCGCCGATTGGGACCCACTCAGCCTCGAGTGCCCCGACTACAACGACCCCAACTACGCCAGGTCCGCCTGCGGGGTCATCCAGGGACGCGCGCTGTCCACCATCCTCAGCGTCTGCTTCCTCCATGACATCTGCCACGAAGTCCAACGTGACAACCCGAGCATGCGTCTCATCGGTTTTGCGGACGACATCTGCCAGAACGACGAGCCCTCGCGCGCCGTCGCCGCCTACTCCGGACCAAAGGGCCTCCTCGAGGCGCAGAAGAAGGGAGCGAGCGTCTTCGACGGCGTCAGCAAGTCGCTCATCTACTCGCCCGAGGGTGACCTCTCGAGCGCGCCGGGCTGGCTCCGGGGCTCGCCTGCACACCGCGACAAGGAGGGCAAACCCACGGGGCGAGTGGACTGCTTCAAGGCCGTCGGCACCTTCTTTGGCGACCCTGAAGCCTGCAAGAAGGAGCTCACCGCGCACCTCAGGAAGAAGCTCGCGCCGCTCGACGTCATCGACACGATCGTCGACACTGACTGCGTCACGAACACCTCGCAGCTCCGCCTCAACCTCGTCCAACGGATCGCCTGCGCAAAGACCAAGTACATTGCCGGCATCACGCCGCCCAATGTCGCGTGCGAGGCTCTCGAGTTTGCGCACAACCGCATCCGCAAGTCCTTTGAGAGCATTGCTCGCGCCGACGCCTCGCCCCAGGCGCTCCGCGACCTCGCGTGGCTCCAGGCACAGCTGCCGACCGAGATGGGCGGGTGCAACATCGATACCGCCTTCTCGCGCGCCGACAGCGACTTCTCCAAGCATGTCGCTCCTCAAGAACTGGCGCACCCTCGTCGCCCACAACCCCGACTTCGCCCACGACGAGGGAGGTGCATCCAAGTACCCCGCCATCACCGCAGCTATCGCCACCTACGAGTCCGCCCTCTCGGACTGGAAGGAGGTGTGCGAGAAGCGCACCGCCCGCGACAAAAACAAGTACTACACCGTCCGCGGCGGCTACCTGACTGAGTTCTACCCCAAGAGCGTCCCGCTCCCCGAGCCCGAGTCCCTTCCAGCTACCGACGCGATTCTCAATGGCACTTGCAAATCCACGTACCCGCGGCCGCGGGCGCTCGCTGCCATCAAGAATCACAAGGACTGGTACGCGCACCAGGAGCTCGTCAAGGCGCGGGATGTGCACGTCAAGAACAACCCGTCCCTCGGAGACAGCGCCGTCAACAACCGCGAAGCCGCGCGCTTCGTCTCCGCCTCAACGCCTTTCGCCGGCAAGGCCTTCGATGTCCGTGTCGACGGTACGTACGCCACCGCCCTCTCCTCCGACACCCTCCAGGACGAGCTCCAGCGAAAGCTCGGCCTTTGGCTCTCCGCGGCGCTTCCCACCCTTCGGGTCGCGCTCGAGCGGGGCATGCCAGTCGATTTCTTCGGCGACTACCTTTACAACAAGGCCCACCACCGGCGGCCCCACGACGGCGTCCTCGCCGCCTGGGCGGACGCGATGCGCGCCCCGGCCAACGCGCCGGTCGTGCACGGCGACAAGGAGAAACCAGAGCTCACCCGGCAGTACAACGAGGGGTACAAGACTGACCTCGCAGAACCCCATGCGGGACCAGGAGGGTGCGATGACGTGAATGAAATCAAGCTCTGGACGCCCCTCCTCAAGACCTCCTCG